GTCTAATAACCTGGCTGAGGAGAGGACAACCCCCATTATAGTAAAATATTTAAGTAGCACTTCAAAATAAATAGTAAAAGATGACCCAAAGGAGTGTTTGATAAGTGAATTATACAAACTGTAATTTCTTGTATAAGAGTACATGGAGAGACACCCAAGCTGGAGTGTTTCAGGAAAGCTTTAGGGAGGAGGTGAGTTTTCAGTGGGTCATGATCTGAGAGGTTGAGTTGTCTTTCCAAGCAATTGAAAAGGCATGATCAAAAAGGAGGAGGCAAGGATATCCAGGTGGGTGAGTGAACCAGTTTGGCAGGAGAAGTCATTGGATGGATGGGGATGGGGGTGGGGATAGCAGATAAGTCTGAGAAGGCAGGTTGAAGCCAGATTGTGGCAGGTCTTGAATAAGAATCTATCAGAATTGGGACTTTCTCTCATGGTCAAGGGAGACTCATTGAATTTTGAGTAAGTGAATAGTATGATTGAATTTAAATTTTAAGAAAATTAAGTTGGCTTTATTTTTTTAAATTTTCATTTATATTTCCTTTTTTATTTATTTACTTACTTTTTTTTAAAATGTCTAATTTTGAGACAGAGAGCAAGTGGGGGAGGGACAGAGAGAGGGAGACACAGACTCTGAAGCAGTCTCCGGGCTCTAATTGGGGGGGCTCGAACTCACGAACTGGTAGATCATGGTCTAAGGTGAATTAAGACACTTAACCTGGACATTTAACTGACTGAGCCACTCAGGCACCCCTATAGTTCCTTTATTTTTGAGGTCTTGCTCAAACGTGTTCAGCAAGTGTTGGCTCTCCTCCTCACAGTCTTCCAATAATAGGTTATTTTGGGCATAAGGCACAGACATTTGTTTTATAAGGTTCTGGTCACCGCCCATCCCCCCAGTTTGGTTCTAGTTTAAAGGCAAAGCCAACAGAACTCAGGGACCATTTAGTTCTTTTTTTTTTTTTTTTTTTTTTTTTTTTTTTTTTTTCAACGTTTATTTATTTTTGGGACAGAGAGAGACAGAGCATGAACTGGGGAGGGGCAGAGAGAGGGAGACATAGAATCGGAAACAGGCTCCAGGCTCTGAGCCATCAGCCCAGAGCCCGACGCGGGGCTCGAACTCACGGACCGCGAGATCGTGACCTGGCTGAAGCCGGACGCTTAACCGACTGCGCCACCCAGGCGCCCCGGGGACCATTTAGTTCAAGACCTTTTTCTCACAGAGGAAATATAAAGAGATTAAGAGCCTTTTCTAAGAGAGAACTCATGTTTTCTGACCTTTAATGTAATTTACTTTCTACAACTTTTAATTTTTAAAATTTGTCTGGCTTGCAGCACTCTTTGGGAATAGGTCCATTATAGAATGTAGCTCTCTAATGAGAAAGGAAGGTTGTATGTGAGGGCGTGTCAAGAATTTGTGAGGTACTTGGACATCAGTTATACACAGGCAACTAAAGTGACAAAATAATGGTTATACTGCATTCTCACTCCAGTTGGATTCTGGGACTGAAACAAGGAGTATCCAGGTCAAGTTGGTTACCCCCCCAAAAAAAGAAAGGGCAATTCAAGTAGAAGAGAGAAGCAGTATAACCCATTAGAGAGAAAACTGGATGACTAACTAGAAATTGGGGTTCTAGTTCTGGTTAGCAGTGGTTATGGGAGAAGCCACACTTTTATTTGTCACATCCCTTCCAGATTCAAATAAATGTTTTTAGCCGATCATTTGGAACTTACAACATATTTCCCAAAGAAGTGGTTATGAAACAGTGGTTAGTTTCCCAGATTATCCTCCAGGAATCTATAAAGATTCCATCAAAACTGAAATTAGTGCATATTTGCAATGAGAAATATAAATGTTTTTTTCGCAACATTAATGAATTAGCAAAACAGATTAGCCAAACTAATTATTGTGGGGTTTTTAAAATGGAAAACATTTAATTAGAAGAGGATATGGAACTGAAGGCTGTGGCAAATGTAAAAGACTATTACTTCTTGGCACTTTAAAGGTAATCTGAGGTTAATGGCACCAGCTCACAAACAGAAAAGATGCAAGAGAGAGAAAGGGAAAGAAAGTATGAGCTGTGTGTGTTTTTAAGGAAGATGGTACAAACAGTGTTTAGAGGGTGAATGAATGGGCCAGGCTGGAAAAAGCCAGGAATGAGACACCACTCTGAAACTAAGGGAGAACTGATGGAGGGTCAGTGACCAACATATAGGTATAGAGGTGTTAATCTAGACTGTAGGAGATTAGGTCAAAAGTGGGTCCAGAAAGTAAATCAGAGGTAGTGAAGTCCCAGGGGAAAGGTGAGACAAATGTTCAAAGCAGGGTCAAAGACTCAGCCTATCAATTCCAACAGAGGCAGAGGCAGAGGCCTTGGCCTCCAAATGTGAAGCTCTAGTTGGAGTCCAAACTCAAGGAACTCGGAGGCCACACTTTCCATCAGATCAGAGACATAGAAGACTGCTTAGCCCCAGGGCCAGAATTGGTTCCAGACTGTTGGTGAAATTTGGGGTGGGCAAAGAGCACAGTGAGGGGAGGAACGAAGCAAAAAGTACAAAGACTGAACCAAAGTTAGAGGACAGAAAGAAACAGGTCAGGAAGGAAGGAAGGAAGGAAGGAAGGAAGGAAGGAAGGAAGGAAGGAAGAAAGGAAGGA